GCAGGGTCCCCGTTTCGGGGGGGCTGCCCCGGGGGGGCTGCAGCAGCTCCAGGAACCGGGGGGGCTCCGAGGGGGGATGTTGCTTGGAGATACCCAGTCCCTGCAGGGGAAGGAGCAGGCAATGGAATACTGGAATGCTGGTAGAAACCCGGGGGGGGGGGGGGGGAAGGAAGCAGCATCAGGCTGGTGCAGTGTCTCCACACAAGGGACTCTGGAGTTCAGCTTTTCTTGGAGAATGGAGGACTTCTGCCACGCAAGCTGATTTTGTCCTGTAGAGATGGTGGAAGGAGCCGAGGGGAGAAGAGCTTAAAAAGGCTTGGCAGTGGTGGTGGTGAGAGCACAAGGCTGGGAGTGGAGATGCTGGGGATCTCTGCTCTCTGATTTTAACAGGCTCCAGGATGACTCATAGTAGGAAACAAATTTATTTTTCTTGGTAAGTGTCAGAACTGGATTTAGTTTTAAGGCAACATACCCTGCTAACTCACCTCTGTCTCATCCCATAGATCTCAAGAACCCAACAGATTCTTCCGTGCATAGTCCCTTCACTAAGCGACAGGCCTTCACGTCAACCTCGACCATGATAGAAGTGTTTATGCAGGAGAAACAGCCTGTGGTGACGGCCTCCACAACCACACCGGCACCCCCATCCTCTCCGCTGCCCAGCAAAACCAATCCTGTGCCCCAGATGTCCCCAGGGTCCTCGGATAACCAGTCCTCAAGTCCCCAGCCAGCACAGCAGAAGCTGAAGCAGCAGAAGAAAAAAGCATCATTAACATCAAAGGTGCGGATTGATGGTGGGGAAGGAGGTGTCAGATTGTGTTAGAGCTACAGAAGCATCTGTTTGGGCTAGTGAGGGAAGGTCTGGGGTTGCCGTTCCTGCTGTTAGCATGGGGTGTTTGTGGGGGTGATGGAGTTACACGCCAGCCTGGGTTGAACGGTGTAATTCAGAGGCTGCAAGCCTGTAACTGCCATTGTGTGCTGGGAAACATGGGCACTAAAGCAGTTCTCTGTGCTGATCCCAGGGAATGACTGGGCCGTTCCGTTGTTCCTCCCTTGCAGATTCCTGCACTTGCGGTGGAAATGCCTGGCTCGGCGGATATCTCAGGGCTAAACCTGCAGTTTGGGGCGTTGCAGTTTGGTTCAGAGCCTGTTCTCGCTGAGTACGAGTCGACGCCCACAACCAGTGCTGCCGTTAGCCAGTCTCAGAGCAGCCTGTACACCAGCACGGCCAGGTGAGCGCCAGGAACCGTTAATCCAAGCAGGCAGCTTTGGAAGGTCGCTGATCCCATGGACTTGAGTTGTGCTGCATACTAGTAGACCCTTTCTGACTGTGCTATGGTCACAAAGGGGGGACAGTGTATGCAACAGCAAAGCGTGAGTTGCCAGCAGACTCATCGGGCAGCTCTGTGGCTGTTTCGGCCTGCGGCACTTGGACAGAAAGCGGAGTTGTCCTGCTGCCCTTCAACTGTGTTGCTGGAAACACAGAAGGGGAATCCCCAGCGCAACTGCTCTGTGTCCCTGGTGAACAGATTGAGTGCTTTGTCCTGCTTTTTGCCTGGCAAACTAGGACACAGCGGGATAGGTGTATCTACGGCGCCTTGCCAAAGCGATGTGTCTCTGTCTTCTCTTGAGCTGACCCTCAGTAGCTGGCCAGTCTCTTAAGTGCTGGGCAGTGTGTGAGGCAGGGCTGTGGCTGGGTGCCAGCATCCTCCCGTGGTTGGGCTACCCCTGCTCTCTGGGCGCGTTTCTTGGCTTGGCTGCTTCATGCGGTGCCTTTATGCTGATGCTTGGTGCTCTTTATCTTGGATATTTTTTCTCCCCCCTTTGTAGTGAATCTTCATCCACGATTTCATCCAATCAAAGCCAGGAGTCTGGTTACCAGAGCGGCACAATACAGACAGCAACATTTACCTCCCAGAACAGCGCTCAGGGACCACTGTA